GGAGCCGGCCCAGCAGCGGCCGCTCAGCCCCGAGGCGCCCAGCAGCAGCGCTCCGTCTGCGGGACGTTCAGCCGTTCAGCGCCCGCGGTGCCGCTCCCCGCCGCCCCTCCCGCCCCGCTCCCCGCCGCCCCTCCCGCCCCGCTCCCCGCCGCCCCGTGTCCACGGGCCGCTAACCTGCGCGGTAATGAGCGCGTTCCAGGTGCCGCTCCATGCAGGCGGGCGCGTTAGGCGGGATGTTCCATTCGGGGCCGCCGGCCGCCGCGGCCTCATCCTCCTCCCCGCCTGCTGAGGGCGTCGGAGTCGCGGGGGGCGGCGGCTGCTCGGGCGGCGGCTCCTCCATGGCGGCGGTGGCGCAGCGGGACCGGGACCGGCGGCGTCCCCACGTGCTCCCGCGCCGCGCGCGCGCCGTCTCCTCTCGCGAGAGCGGCCTCCGCGAGAGTCTCGCGAGAGTCTCGCGAGATCCGCCCAGCCGCCATCTCGGTGCGGAGGCGGCCGGCGGTCACCGGGACGAAGGGTCGCTGTGCCGCCATGCTGTCCCGTCTGGTCCTCCGCGCCGGTGAGCGGGCACGGCTCCGTACGGGGAAACGGCGGGCGGGAGCTGGGGGGGAGGGGAGGGTGTGTGAGCTCCGTCCTGACGTGCCCTCTGCCCCTCTCCTCCCGCAGCCCCGGCTGTGCTGAAGGGCCTCCAGGGCCTCCCGCCTCCCGTCTGTGCAGGGTGAGTTCCGCGCTGTCAGGCGGGTTTCCCTCGGCGGTTCTTTCTGCACGCCGTGGAGCTGAACGGAAGCTTTCTCATTGCAGCGTCTTGCACGTCGCGAGGCCGCTTCACACCGCTCAGCACCGCTTGGCTCCTGTGCCTCCGCTGCCGGAGAAAGGAGGAGAGGTCCGGCACGGCCTGATCCCTGAGGAGTTCTTCCAGTTTCTCTATCCTAAAACCGGGGTCACAGGTTAATATTTGTGTTTTGAGATGGCAGCAAATCATCGGTCTTGGAGGGAGGGTTCAGACAGGGTTCAGATAAAAATGTCACTTTGTTTTGGCCTCTTCTTTTGCTTTCCTGAATTCCTAACCTGACTCACGTTTTGATGTGCAGAGAAGCGAAGGACTTTTGTAAGAGTCGAAATTGAACGTTCTCGATTGCTTTTTTCTCTGAAAAAGTTCCCCATGAATCAAGCATTTGGGGAGCACTTTGTTTCAAGGAATCAGTCATCAAAATCAGTCCCTATTTAATAGGGAGCCTATTTAAGGAGCAAAAAAGTGTTCTGCAAAGCCTCACCTAATTTGTAGTTTATTTCTCATTTAGAAATAGGAGGACTTTGGCCCCCTGATGCCCGGCTCTGGTAGTGCAGCAGCCCCTCCTGGGGGAAGGGGAATTCCAGAAGGGAATTCTGCTCCCTCTGCAGTGAATGTTCCCACAGAACATGTTGTGCCAAAAATGCTGACTGAGCAGTTTCATTTTATTCATGTTGATTGAATGCAGATGCTGTGTTCCTCCCTGTCCAAGAAACAGATTTCACATCTGCCTGGGAGATGGACTGGATGATCTCTAGAGGCCCCTTCCAGACCCTGCAATTCTGTGATTCTGTGATGTGTTTTTAATTTGCATTTAGTTAGGCTTGTTTAGATGGGTCTGTAATTTGTAGCATAAAAAAAGGTAAAGTATTTGGGAAAACACAGCATTGGTCAGCATCCTGCATGTGTTTAACACGTGATATTTAAGGAGAAGAGGAAGAATTTTTACACTTTAGGTATAATGAGAGGGTGGTTTTGAAGCCTGTGTGGTATTCCTTATGCTAAGTGCATTTGAACAACTTTACAATAGTCAAGTCAAGGCCTGCAGCAGGCAGTTCTGTGTGAATATGGCTTGAATTTGGGCAGTTCTGTATGGAGCCAGGAGCTGGATGCTGCTGGTGGTGTCCTTCCCACTGTGCTGTTCTGAAGCTGTCTGATTCTGCCTTTGGTTATGGTAGAAAGGAGTCATAGAATCATAGAATCACTCAGGATGGAAAAGTCCTCAAGGACCTTAGAGTCCAACCATGAACCCAGCTGTACTGCCCCAGCTCTAACAGCAGCTCAATCACGTCCCTGAGCACCGCATCCAGATTTCAAACACATCCAGGGCTGGTGACTCCACCACCTCCCTGTGCAGCCCATTCCAGTGCTTAACAACCCTTTCTCTAAAGAAGTTTTTCCTGATATCCAACCTAAACCTCCCCTGGTGCAACTTGAGGCCATTTCCCCTCGTCCTGTCACCAGTGAGAAGAGACCAGCCCCGCTCTGCTGCAATCAGGTATTGGAAGAGAGCAGTAATGTCTCCCCTCAGCCTCCTCTTCCCCAGACCAAACAGCCCCAGCTCCTTCAGTCTCTCCTCACAGGCCACATTCTCCAAGCCCTTCCCCAGCCTTGCTGCTCTTCTTTGGTCCTGCTGCAGCACCTCAGTGTCCTTTCTGAATGTTTCCTGGAGTTAATCTATTTGCTTTTAGGTGTTTCACGTCAATGCAAGCAATGCGGATTTATTTTATCTTTTTTAGGGCCTTACATGTTGGGAACTGGACTCCTGCTTTACTTACTCTCTAAGGAAATCTATGTCATTAACCATGAGACAGTTGCAGCTGCCTGCATATTGACAGTCATCATTTATGCTGTTAAGAAGTACGGTGCTGATGTAGCAGCTTTTGCTGACAAACTTAATGAGGTAAAAATAATAACATTTAATCCAACTTTGCAAAAAAAGCTAAAAATTAGTTGGTCTGCTTAAGCAGACCTGGGCTGTAATAGAATCTGAGCCTACTATTATTGTATTAATGCTAATATGAGGTATGTTTTAGATCTTAGGTTGGTGTTGCTGTGTGGGTTTGAGGGAAAAAAAGTGAAGGAAAAGCAATTGACACCAAAACAAATATTTTATGGCTTTTGATTTTTTTGTACAGTTGGTTGTGAGCAGTAATTGTTGTCATGTCCCAAACCTGGTGCAATCTAGCTGGTGTAGGCATTTCTCAAATTGTAGTGCAGAATTTCAGGAATAAGTTGCAGATCTCTTGTTTTCTTTGCAGCTTGCTTTAATTCTGAATTGTTTTTTGTTTCTGCTTTCAGGAGAAAGTTGCTAAAGCTTTAGAGGTGAAAAATGAATCAATTAAAGCACTGGAAACTGCCATCGAGGAGGAGAAAAAGGAGCAGTGGAGAGTTGAAGGCCGCAGTTACCTCTTTGATGCTAAGAGGGTATGCAGCTCTAGCCCTGCTGCTCACTGTTACTGCTGTTGGCATCACATCCTGTGGGTGCCTCTCAGGTTACTAACAAGTAACAAACCACTGAGGAGACATTTGTTGCAGCCGGGGCCAGTTCCACTACCTGATCTGTTGACTCTGTGTGGGGCTGTGTTCTGACTCTGTGTGGGGCTGTGTTCTGACTCTGTGTGGGGCTGTGTTCTGACTCTGTGTGGGGCTGTGTTCTGCTCTGTTGTCTCGTTGTCAAACGTTAATCTGCTGATTTCATTTTTGTGTCTAGAATAATATTGCAATGCTGCTGGAAGCCAATTACCGAGAAAGATTACTGACAGTATACAACGAAGTGAAGAAAAGGCTGGACTATCAGGTGGCTCTGCAGAACTTAAAGCGTCAGAAAGAGCAAGATCACATGGTTCAGTGGGTGGAGAAGAGCGTTATTCAGAGCATCACACCTCAGCAGGTATTGGTGTTTGCTGTTGGCTTTCATCTGTGTTATGTTTTAGCTTGTGAACATTTTGCTGTCCAGTCCTTCTGAGTCAAAAAATGCCAGATCATCTGGGTGGCTTGTGGGCACAGCAGTGATGCGTTCTGCTGCTGTGTGGGAGCTAACAGCTCTCCCACACGTAGATACAAGGTGTCTGTGCTGCTGGTGAAGTGAGCAAGTTGTTGGTTTTGTTTGCTCTTGCAGCACAGAGCTAACCCTGCAGTAAGGGCACACCAGGGAACTGTCTTCTAAAAATCCCTCTCTAAGAGCAGGATGGCTGAAGATCCCCAGATGGACTCTGGATGCCCTTTCTTTTAAGGAATGAACCTGATAACAATGAAATATGTACAAGCAGAGCTAGAAATATGGCAGATCACTGCTTGGATATGAATCTCACCTTATAAGCTACACAGCGTCATACCTTTCAGTCTGTAACTCATTTTGAGTGTCTAAAGGGAAAATAAAAAGTGCACTAAGTACGTGCTTTGCTTGTTTAGCTTCTCTTCATAGAGGCTTTCTACTGAAAATGTTTTGTTTTTCTTTTGCAGCAAAAGGAGAGCATTGCAAAGTGCATTTTGGACCTGAAGGCACTTTCAAAGAGCGCCCAGGTGGCGGCGTAGCCACGTAGCACCTGATTGCTCTGAGGTGTCCCATTACTTGTTGGAAACTCTGATTGTAAAATGTCATTAAAACCAACCAACAAAAATACTCGCTGTCTTTGACTGTGATTTCTGTATGTGTGTGTTTGCAGTAGATGATAGTGGGGCATTACTTCCAACCACAGCTTTGTTTGGTTCCTGGTTCAGTTGTGAACCTTTCTGGAGATGAGATGCTGACTCTCACTGTGGTGCTGACACACTGGTGAATTTTGTTTTAATTCAGAACTACCTGTACAAATGCCCTATGGTTATTTTTGTTAACGTGTTTTAAAATCAAAATGACTGCTGGTCTTCCCACTCTCCCAGTGAGATGCTTGGAGCTGGTGTCCTCAGTTCATAGGCAAACAAACAAACAAGTAACAAAGCTTTAAATAATTACAAAAGCTTCTTATTCTGCAGAGAAGAGAATATGACTGGCAGGAAATATCAGAAGATGATAAAGCTCAGCTTCTGCTGAATTTGCCAGCATACAGATTAGAACAGTAGGATTGATAAGTGTGCCCTGGAGGGACTGATGCACCTTTTGTACGTGGACTTTTACATCCTTTTTCACTACAACAGCTCAGAGAAAAAGGTGTTCTTTGGAGGTGAGGCACTCCTAAAGGCAGAAGTCACCCACCTTCAGGTAAAGGTGACTTCTTTTTTTCTCCCCCTGGCATTTCCTGGCAGTAAAGGTTCCTCATCATTTCCTGTTTTACAAAAAAAAAAGTGAAGTTACTCAACTTCCACATTGATGTCTCATTCGACTTTAAGCTTACTGGTGCTCTCACAAGCTGGACACGTTCTTTTCACAAAGGCAGCACGTAGTGCAGTGCAAGCAGTGCCAACTCTACTGGAGTTTTCCACAGGCAGCTGTTGCACGGTGTGAGGTAAGGCGAAGCTGTACCTCAACATTGCTTCTGCTATTGCAAATGCAATGGACTTTGAGATCTGACATGGGGAACTTGGAGCTGTTGGGGTATGCAGGAGAAAAAGGTGACAGTAACTGAGAACAGTTTATTTTGTGTTGTGAGCAATAGCTGGATGTTTGCAGTGTGTAGTTTGAAAACCATATAATGAGAGAGACCAGGCTGGGAGTAGCCCAGTAAAACTGTATTTCCCCATCTTCACGCTTGCACCTCCTGAATTTGAGAATAATGTTTTAATTCTGAAGTTCCTGTGAGTGTAACTTGAGAAAAAATTGTCCCTTCAGGTTTTTCCTATTTGTGCTTCTGATACAGAAGTTCAGAAGCTTCTTTCATGAAGTTCACTCTATTTTAGCTATATGATGCTGGGGATATTTTTTAGTCCAATATGAAATCATTTCAAGAGGAGACACTGTGCTTAACAAGGGTACTGGGTGTGTGTGCACTTGGATGCAGGAGTGAGATGTTGAGAAGCCAGGCTCGTGCTCTGTTTATTGCCTGATTTCCTGCTGTGGTTTCATGCAAGTTTGTGTAAGAAGCCCAAAACACTGACACAAGTGAAATCGAGCCTGAGGTGTGAATGAGAATGCTGGGTTTGTGTTGTGAACGTGTGTGTAAATGCAGCTGTCCTCTCATCTTTAGGTTCTTTTGCTGTTCACTGGTGTTTGGAGAGAATGGGAGGTTCCTCCTCAAAATCAAAACCAGGTATTTCATTTGATTATTGCTATTATTTTTTAAGGAGTTCTGTCAGATCCAGTGCTCTTGGCTACATCACCACTTTCCTGGCTCAGAAAGGGTTGTTGGGGGGCAGCTTTGTGGATAAATGTATTTGGGGAAGTACTGCACAGCTTCCAAGGGCTGCTGGGGAGCAGTGGTGGTGTGGATCACTGCTGTTTTTCTGCCTGGTGTTTCTACTTTCAGCCCTCTGGAACAGAAATGTTACACTTACAACATTTCTTGCAGTCATTCTTGAATAGGTTCACACTTCCAGGAGGTGGTTTGCTTGTTACTTGTAATAGTACTTGTAATAGAAATATTAACACATTTAAACTCTTTTTCTAATTATTTTCAGTTGCACCAGTGCCCATTTCCACCACTGTCACAGTACATACCACTGTACAGACCTCTACTGCTGCCTTACCAGACTCAGAAGGCGAATCCTTGTTTGACAAGTAAATGCTACACCTTTATTTCTGAACTTTGAACACCAAGTTCCTTGAAACGACAAGCCCTTTCTATAGGGAAGAAGTTACCCATAATGTCCCATGTTTTCACAAGTTGGCTTAGAATTTCCTAGCCTGTGCTCAAGGTACTCAGTAATTCTTACTGCAGATATCCTGTAATCTCCTGGGGCTTGGCAATAGGATGTTTGATAACCTTGGTTGAATTTGAAAGCTACTAATTCTTTGATATTTCTGTAAGAATGTGATTCTGACTCTGTTTCCTGTGCATCAACAGCCCTGACATATTCTACTTAGCACTGGCCTTTATCTCTGGCATCCTGTCAACTCTTCTGGTGGTTGCAGTCGTCTGCCTCATCAGGAAAAGTAAGTGGCACAGTCAAGGAAATGCCAGCAGCATGGTTCTTGGGTTTCCAAATTGCTTGGTTTGCAGTGAAGATTGCAACAGATTTCAGGTCGGATTGCCCAGCTGTCAGCTGAGAGGGAACTGTACAATTGGCTGGTGGAATATCACAGCCAATTCCTCTTTCTGTGGTACAAATGACAAGAAAGCATAACTCAGTGCCTTGCAGTGAAGGGGGAGGGGAGGAATAGATTGTCTTGCATGCAGGGCAGTCTAACCCACTGGGTCCTAATTGCTCCCTAGTTCTGTAATTAAAACATCCTTGTGAGTTTTGGCAAAGAGCAGGAGTTCTGTTCTGTTACCTTTAAACGACCATCAGGGAGAGCAGTGTGGACTAAGAACTTGTTCCAAAGATAACAACTGCCACCTGGCTAATCCCACTCTGCTCTCCTCCTTTCTAGGGTATAAGAGATCCCAAGAAAACCTACAAGAACAAATTCCCTCCAAGGCACAACGTGAGGAATCTGCTGAAAACATCCAGGTAAAGATCAAAACTACAATTCCTGGGGCTGCTCAGTTTCCGTAGCGTTGAGGTCAAAATCGAAGCAGGGCATTTGTCCTGAGATGTTTCATTTGCACTTTCTCTGATATTTATAACCTCTCATATCCCAGAATGAGGTTTTTTATGCCTCTGTGGTCATCAAGCCCCAACCGAAAGCAGCGCCTGTGTGACAGTGGAATTTGACACATGAACACCTGCACCTTGTGCATGCTGGATGCCATTGCTGGATTGTTGCACGGAGGATGGCGGTGCTCTGCGAGGTATCCAGGCTGCAGTACATAACATCAGCTGAATTCATAGCTAGGAGGGGAAAACAGCATCTCCATCTCTACAACTCTCGCCAACACTGGGGACAAACTGCTTTCAACACCACCTTCCCTCATCTGGAGCAATCCTGGTGACCGCTTGTTGCACAGTTTCCGTGTGGGTTTCCGCTTTTGCTTGGAACTGCTGAGGAGAACTGAAAAACAGAAGTGTTTCTCTGCACCTGTCCACATCTGTGTCCTTATTTCCCTGTTCAGTCACTGGCTGCAGCATTTTTTGATAAGAGCGCCCAACGCTTTGATTGAAGCGCTGAATTACATCATGATGCACCGCTGTGGGGCAGCACCGAGCAGCCGCCGGAAACACCCGAGCAAAGTTTGATCCGCGTTATTCTAAGGTGTAACGTTCTGTGCTTTCTGTTTGTTTGTTTGTTTTTGCCTGCTGAAAGCAATCGGTTCCATCTACTGACAGCGGTCACGTCGCCAAGCTGTGATGCACTCGTGCAGTGACTTCCTTTGCCAGCTGCTTTGTGAAGGGTGGGACCCTGTAACGGGGTGGGTTTGGGCAGCAGCAAGGATTACATCAGATGTTGAACTAAGATCTCTGATCTTTGTTAAAGGAGCAGGCACTGCGTTTATGTAGCTTACTGAGCTACAGAACAGAATGATGCACTCCCCTTTGTTTTTTTTTCCTAGACCACTTTTACCGTGCAAAGATGGAGAAAAAAGAGACTTGCCTTTAATTGCCTGTGTTCAGTTTAACTCCCTGAAACTAAGCTGTGCTATAGCATCTACTGCAGTTTTGGAGCTGTAGGGACACCTGCTAAAACAGAGCAGGGATTTCATGCAGCACGTTGACTTTGCATAAAATCCACTTAATATTTATTATCCTTAATGGAAGCGTGGCAGCACTGACTGCAGCACAAGCTGACCAGACTTCATCTGATCATCGAAATGGACAGGAGATGATGGGTGTAAGAGGAGGCAGTGAGGACATCCTGCACTGCAAGCATTTATCCTGTTTCTCAGTGCACCCAGACAATCATTATGGGAGGGGGGGGGGGGGGGAAATGACAAAATTAATCTTAACCCTTTTCTGTATTTTGAAATGACATGATACAGACATACAGACATAGGACATGTAAGTAGTGACCCAGGGGGTGGGGACAGGTCCTGGTGAAGTCTTTCATTTGCAGATGGAGGTCTCATGTGATGCTGTGACTGCACTTGTGCTGCTGAGCGAAACGTCGGTGCAGGTGTGGTTATGTGCAAGTAAAGAGAAAGCAAAATGCTGACCAAAAGACTTGTTGTGCTTGAGTTAAAGCTAGAAACTAGCAAGAACTGTTGCATTATTTCTTACTGCCTGTGGATTGGAGCTGGAAGTAAAAAGTCCATCTTGGTAACTGTTCTTTGGGTCATAGTCTGCCAAGCAACACTCAAGTCAGTAAACATGAACCAGAAGGTGCTCTTAAAGGCAGGTGCTTACCTGAGAAGGTCTGGGCTTGGTACAGCAACAACCAGGCCAGATTTACTGGGTTATAATAATATAAAAGTTTGCAAATTAACTTTGGAGCTTAATGTCATATGGGAATCAGTGTGTGAGGAGCTTGCTCTTATCGCCGGCTTGTGTCAGGCAGCAGATGAACAGGACGTGTTTTTCCCGTGAGTTCCTGAAAGCGTTTTATCAGTGGTCTGGTGTGTGCTGGTGGGTCAACGTTCATTCTGTGTCTATGACAGCTGCTGTGTTTAATCTGTTGCAGCTGAGTCTGGCTTCGGGCTTTTTTCTGCATAGGATGTAGGTCCTTAAAATTAAAAGGTAAGTGGTTTTGAACTTCTTTATCTTGCAAGCATAGACAATGGGGTTTATGGCAGAATTGGCATGAGACAACAAGATTCCCAAGAAGATCCAAGGCTTAGGAATCTTATATTCAGGGTGAAAGTAGAAAACGCAGTTCATGATGCACAGAGGCAACCAGGACACAGCAAACAGGAACAGAACGAGTGCCAGAGATTTGGCTTTCCTGAACTCCTTCCCATAGAACACTCCCACCCCCCTCCCGTTGGTTGCTCCTTGACTTAGCTTTGTCCTGATGATGTAAAATACTGCCACGTAGAGAGCACACATGGTGCTCAGAGGGATAAGAGTCCACGTGAAGAACGAAAAATACACCATGTAATCCATCCTCATCACAGAGATAAATTCACACGTGTGATAGCGGGCGCTTCTTCGTTTGTTCCATCCAAACATTGGGGTTAATCCCACCAGCAGGGACACAGACCAGCACAGCCCCAGCGCCCACCAAATCCTTCTCTCTGTAGACATTATTTTATATCTGTTGAAGAAGAAAACCGAGACCACATTGAACAGCAGTGTTTTAAAATACTTATGGATGATTTCAGTAACTCATGTTCAAAAACTCGAGGTTTATTATGACCAACCAGCTTGCTTTTTTTTCTTTTTTTTTTTGGAAGGAAAACCTTATTTTGTTATGAGCCATAACTCATCACTGTAACAGTCATGAAAGACGAACTATGTTTAACTTCCCTTCTTTGTGGCTGGCTGCTGTTTTATTTCTTGTTTCATTAAGATCTCAGTGCTCCTTGACACACTGGCACAGGTTGCCCAAGGAGGCTGTGGATGCCCCATCCCTGCAGGCATTCAAGGCCAGGCTGGATGTGGCTCTGGGCAGCCTGGGCTGCTGGTTGGTGACCTGCACACAGCAGGGGGTTGGAACTGGATGAGCACTGTGCTCCTTTGCAACCCAGGTCATTCTGTGATACTACTTGTATTTCCACTGCTAGTGATCCTATTCTATTTCTCAGCTTTCTTGCATGCACCTTTATGTATCTTTATGCTGGTTCATTCTGTTTGTAAGGCAAAAGTGCTTTTTCACTTTTCAACATACAGGTCTTCTCCCCACAAAAACATGTTTCTTTTATGCCTGCAGTTATGCTTTCTGTACGTCTTTCCATTCAGACCTAGAAAAGGAAAGCCTTCATAAATCTTCATAATTTTCAGGCAACAGTAAAAGCGAACATATTTAAAAGATTATCCTCAGAAACCCAAAGAAATCTGTAGTGCATTTGGCATCTGCATAACAACCCATTGAACCATGAGCTCACCTGATGGGCAGCTTCACGCGCAGGTAGCGGTCGATGGCGATGGCCAGCAAGGAAAGGATGGAGGCTTGGGTGAAGACCACCATGAGGCAGCAGAGGAAGAGGCAGAAATGGAACGGGATGCTGACGTGCAGACTGACCAACACGGCCAGCGGGATGACGACCAACCCCACTGCAATGTCAGCCAGCGCCAGGGAGGCAATGAAGTACATGGTGGTGTTGTGGAAGGCTGCGTTCAGCTTCACCGCCCAGACCACCGGGATGTTCCCCAGGGCAGCAAGCAGAGCCACCAGGCACTCAGTGCCAATGTAGATCACATCCGTGCTGCCCATCACCTGGCTGGTGTTGAGGGTTCCATTGGTGGGGCTGCTGCTGGCTGGGCAGTCAGGTGGGCACATGGGTGCCGGCGGTCTCTGTGGCGCCCGCAGTGCTGCTGTGGCTGTGTCTGCTTCCCCGGTGTGTGAATGTCCTCCAGAATTTCACATCCTCAGCGCTCAGCAGTAAATCAGCTGTTGCCCGTCCCAGAGTTCAGGAAACATTCTTCGTTTTGGACACCGCAGCTCACCGCAGCCTTTCCGAAACTCCGTAGCTTTCTCGTTCTTTAGAAAGGTGTTTGGAAATGGAAAAAAGAAAAGGAAAAAAAAGGGAAAGCTCTCCTAGGGCTGCTCACCAGCAACCCAAAACCAAATGTGACCAGTAGAAGGAAGCAGATAAGGCAGTTTTAGAAGTGAGAGACCTGTACTTGGAACTGTGCAGTGCTGCCTCTATCAATGCGGGTAATCGCTCTGTGGTCGCTTTAGGAAATGATGCAGCTTATAGGGTGCTTTGCTGCATTCCAGACCTTCCTCGGTGTGGCATTACTATAGTGAGTGATGTTTTCAAGCAGAAGCCCTCAGTTCCAGCAGAAGCCCATGGGACCACCAACCCAACCTTGTTGTTGGCCTGCCCCCATATGGTGGGTGCCAAAAGGCCTCCTTGTACAATCAAAAGGGACAGCAAGGCCAGGGTTAGGTCATGGAACACAGAACAGACAGCGGGCAGCACAGGGCTGTGTATGTGGAAAGTACTGCCTCCAGCCACAGCAACCTTATCTCTGCCATCTCTGGCACAGCCGGGGAAGTGAAGTTGGCAAGAGGCAGAGTCAGAAATGAAGAAGACTTCTTCAATTCTCTTCTGTGAAATGGGCTGGCTTCCTTGAAACATGTGTAAGTACTCCGTGCTCCCCAAATGGAAGGTGTGTTGTTGCCATTACTGCTGGGGAAAATGCAAAGAAGAACCTCTCTGGAGTGGTCCCAGTCTGCACATGGGCTTGGGACTGGTTTTCTAACAGGAGCTGACAGCCGTGGGCACAGCAGATGAATGCCAGCAGTGGCGTGTGCTGGGTTTGCAGCCTGAATTGCTTCTCCAACCAGCTGGTGCTGTGCAGCTGTGAGCAGGGGACAAACACATCCTGGCGGTTGGGTATGAGCTGTTGCGTCACCTCTGTGGCTGACCTCCTCCTCATGTCTCCTGTTGCCCAGGCTGTCGGGGCCTTAGCAGGGCCACCCTCCTCTGGTGTCGGCTGCAAACAGACAAAAAAACACTCAGTGCTGCATGGGAATGAAGCAAAAGATTTGTTTTAAGCCATCCATTCTGCCTCGTGGCTGTGAGAAATGATCCTCACTTCACATGGGTACCCAGGGCATGCTGCACAGGAGGCTCCTTTCGGATGCTGTGGAGAAAGAGCGAGGCTTTGTGCTTTCTAAAGGCACACCATAGCACATCACCTTTCAGTGATGGTGCTGCGTAACACCGTTTGGGGTTTTCCATCCCCAATGGCAGCCAAGGGCAGCTCTGTCAAACCCATCTGAACTGCACCTGCCCCAGCTGAGGCCAAACCGGGCCGCTTCCACCCCCACACATCCCTGTTTCTGTAGGGAAGGTGAAGGGCGCGTTCATTTCCAGATGCTTCCTGCAGCAGCAGCATCTGTTTCCTGCCCTGAGCTCTACACCCTGCCAGGGAGACGAGTGGTGCTCCTGCCCAGGGCCAGGCTGTATGGGGGCACACAGTGTGTATGTACTGCTGTGGCACATCATCCTTCTGCTAGTTGATGCGGTTGGAGTGTTTGGACCCCTTTGCTGCCAAATATGGTGTATTGTGTTTCATAAAAGTAGCTGGGATCTGAAGCGGCCTTCCTGCACTGATGAAACTGGCAGCATGAGAAGCTCTGTGCAAGAAACATTGGGGTCGTCTACATTGGATCCCCTTCTTGTTCCCCCACCACCCTGCAGCCCCATGCAGGATAAGCTCATGCTGAGCCCTGCAGAAACTCAGCCCTGGCTTTGCTGCTGCACAGAAAGCAGCTGGAGTAGGTTTGTGAGCCAGCAATCTAAGGCTTTGTTTGAGATTAGGATTCAGACGTGTATTTTTAGATCCTGCTATTTAGCTGGAGCCTGCAGAGCTCTGAGCATTGCCCAGGGCCCATGCTGGGTGCTGGGACGGCTCCGGTGCAGCAGAGCTCAGGGATGTTGCAGTGCAATGGGGTTAAACTGCACCTCGGAGCCCGGTCCCAGAACTGAATGGATTTGCCATTTAAAGGCTGCAGTCAGAGCTTGTTTCTTGGATGGCTCCGGCGAAAGGCTTCCAGCTATTCCCCGAGGACCCTCCTACATCCTGGTGAGATAAGGATCAGGAAGGGAATGGTCTAACTGCAACTCAGCAGCGGCTCTGAGCACAGATTTGCTTTTCACATTGGGGGTGGAGGAGGGAAGAGACTTTACAGAAAAACAAGTATTTCTAAGTGACAATCACATCCAGAAAAAAAAACAACAACAACAAAACAAGACAACCAACGACAATGATCTTAGCATGTGACAACAACACCAACAGCCTCTTTGTCCTGGCAGGGCGGTGCAATGCTGCAGGGCAGCCAGCAGCACTGCCCAGGGCTGGGCTCTGTCCTGCTGTGCCCCTGAGCCCCTTGTGCTGCTCATGGTTCTCTTTCTCTTCTCCTTGACTGCATTCCCTTTTCATTAAATGCCACGTTAAACTGCCCGCCCTGTTTCTTCCTGTCTCTGTTTTGCCTCCAGTTTGTTTCTTTCCAATGTCCCGTTCGAAGCGTGGAGCCAATTAAGATGGAGCCCTGCAGTGGGTCTGATGGTTGGAACAAGGATTGCGTGCCACGGGGAGCATGGCTGTGACACAACCTTGCCCGTGTCCCCTGCTTGCAGCTGTCCTCTGCTGGGGATGTGGAGAACCCAAGGGCTGCTGTCCCTCCTGGTTTCCCTGCCCTTAGAAAAAGGGAAGGCAAAGCAGCGAGAGGATGTGAATGTGAAGCGGGGTCACATCTGGCTTAACAGAGAGCGATTGTGGTCTGGAGAATAACGAGCAGAATGAGATTCTGGCATTGGTGACTGAGAACAAATCACATCACTGCTCCGTGCTTCAGCATCCCTGCCCTTCAGAAGAGGATGGAGATTTGACTTACCTGGGCTCTCTGGGAGCTGGGCAGGGCTGGGCACCTTGCTCCCTGGGCACAGCTGGAACATCCCAGCCAGGAGCGTGCAGTTCCACCTGTGCCCTTGGAGGCAGATGCAGTTACAAATACTGTCAGTATTTCTCACTTATGGGAAAACCTGAAGGAAATGCTAAGCTGACCCTGCCTGCAATGTGCAGCCCAACCTCAGTAACAAACTGTGCTGAAGACAGAGTCCCTGAATGCTTCTTAGTTTTGACTGCAGCTCCATCTGCAGCTGTCCTGGGTGAGCATGGGTGTTATCAAGGTGCACATCAATGCTGCAGGCACACTGTAGGAGGCCCTCCAGCAACGCAGTGTAAGCATGGATCAGACAGGCATTGCTCACTGTTGAATAGTACAAGCTGCCTTCCTGCTCCCCGAGCGAAATCCTGAAATTCAGACAAATGACTGAAGGCAGAGTTTCTTCAATCCAACGTGAAGCTCAGGGCAGGGCCATTTGCTATCATTTTAAACTCTATTATTGCTCTCTGAGCAGCTGCACTTGCTCCATCACTCTGGCTGCAGTTCAGTTGCTCTCTGCTCTTCCAGCTCCCTGTGATTGACCAAATTTCATCCTCCTCTCCAGCCCCACCTGACAGGTTTGGGCCTCACTGTTTTACAGCATGGTTTGTGCCCCTCTGTGCAGGTGAGTGCTCTGCAATGGGGAATGCCTCTGTGCAAATTATTTATAAAACATGACTCAGCTCTGAGTGCCACTCACAGGTCAATGCAGCAGTGGCATGACTACGTAAGTTATTAAGGGGGGAGGTTACATTTCCCCTGCATGGTTTCTAAGTGCTGTTTTCCTGCCTTTAGCTCTCTAATCAAAGCAAGGCGTTATTTATAGCACAGCCACTTCTTTCTGGGTAAGCCCAGAGTGGCCCTGATGGCTTAAAGGGATTGACTTGAGACTGACGTGGGTGCAGCAAACAGCAGGGTTGGGTCCTGCAGTTGCAGTGCTGCACAGGTGGAGTTCAGAACCCATGCTGTGATGGGGCAAGGTTTGCCCCACGCTGTGGCACAGCTGCAGGGCTGCAGGTGGAGCTGTGCCCTGCAGGAAGGAAGCGCTGCTTGCACCTCGTTATTTTTAATTCGCTTCTGTTTGGACCCAGCCCTTTCCATGATGCGTGGCAGGAATTGAGGCCTCCTTTGTTTTTGTGATTAACTCAGGAAAAAAAAATGGGTTTCATTTTTCTTTACTGCCTATTTGCAGCGGAACACGCAAGCGGATCTCTTGATGGAGTGGAAAGCTCAGCTGTCCCCTTCCCACCCATTGCCACCACTACAGCCCTGATCTGTAGGTGCATCATTCTTCAGCACTGCCCTCAGTGCTCAGCATCTGAGTCCCATAACCATACATCAGGATTTGCCCACGAATTAGGCTGGCGCCAGAGGAATGGCGGCGCACTCATTCTCCAGCAGAAGGGAATATAAACTGAGAAGCACTGAACATGCTGCTGGCTGGATAACAGCAGAACATTTGTTACTGGAGAACGAGATGTAGGGCCCATCTGGTGCAGCTGTGCAGCACCTCGGTGAGGCAAGGAGCTGCAGTGTGCTGGGATGGTGCTCTCAGCGGGCACCCATGGCACAGCCGCTGTGTTTTGTGCTGAAGCAGATGGGGGACAGTGAGATGCAGCCATGGTGCTCCCATCCCCTCAGCTCCTCACTGCTTCTGCTGTGCTCTGTGGGTGTGGGGTGGGTGGGATGGAGGTGCTGAGCTCAGCTCTGTTCGCTCTGTAGGCAGGAAACGAGCTCAAGCCATGCTCACAGAGCTCCATGTGCTTGCTGCAGCCCAGCCAATGCTTGGTGTCCTCATCCCCTGCGAGTTTCATTTGCAGAACAAACCCTGTGCCAGGGCAGCCAGAGGCCACCAAATATGCAGACAGCACATGTGAGGGCAAACCACAGTGGTGCAGGCTTCTTGGTTAATCGAGGCAAAGATTTTAATAGGTTCTCAGAATAGGGAGGCCTCTCTGACACATGGCCCACCTCAGTGGTAGGCGCAGGGGGCTGCAGGAGCCCCCCAGTGCTGCTGGTGACCCTGCGCCTACTGGCACCTGCAGCATCTTGGAGCCTGAATCTGCAGCACCCTGCAGCCAGCATCTGTGCTGCTGGGCATGGAGGGTTCACTCCAATTCGGTGCTTCGCAGTGTGCGCAGCTGCAGCTGTCATCAGTGAGCACCTCAAGCTCCCCCTCCCTGCTGCGCCTCGATCCTGGCCCTCAAGCTGCCGGCTCTGCTCTCTGCCTTCACACTCAATGCAAGGTGTGGACCAGGGCTGCTATGA